AGAAAATTAAGGTTAAAATATATATATTGTGTAATCAGTCAAATTGCTTAGCAAAGCATTAAAGAAAAAAAAATTGGAATGAAATATTATGTAATAAAATATTTTTTTAAAAAATATTTTTTTAATATATGGGGTCTTTGCCTTGAAAATCACATTTCCGATCGGGTTAATTCGGACAAAAATAAACTCGAGTACCGGTTCATGTTTATATGCTAATCATCCTTTAACTTTCTTGATTCAATAGTTTATCGAATAACTATTGAATCAATAAATGATTAACATATGTGAACATGAACCGGTACTCGGGTTTAGTTTTGTCAGAATTAACCCGATCGAAAATGTCGGAAGGTGATTTTCAAGGCAAAGATCCCATATATATATATATATATATTACGTTCCTGGTTTAACTAGTTTAAGCGTGACTACGTCGGATCTTAGTAATGGACTGGACAATGTAACCATTGGTATTTTGATATAAAGATTTCTTATCTAAATTACGTATACAATCTGTGCCATACTGATCTTTAATATTAGGGTTAGAAATTATTGTATATTAGTATGTTCTTAAAATAGATATTTCACATCCCTAATACCATCCAATACTGATCTACTGTAATCTATTTTTTCATTTGGATAATCCTTGATAATTATCAAAAAAAATAATATAACTAAATTACGTCGATCGATGATAAGTTTGGCATTTGTTATCTAGATAATAGTTATTTTATATTGTCAACAATTAAGCAGATTTAAATTATTCTAATTAGGAATAGTTCACGTGTATGATATAATGGTAAATACAGTAGACCCTCATAGATAATAAATTTTCTTTTACGCAAAAAAAAAGAGCTTAAAAATTTTCTATAAAAAGGGTTGCATATTTTTGAAAAATGTCAACGAACATAAAATCAAAGTACACATACGGTACAGAGAAACTATAGAAAATATTCAGGAAACTCCAAAACTTATTCCTTAATACACCACTTACACCTGATTTTAATATACAGCAGACCATGAAGATGGTTCAAATTTATTCAACATTTAATATATACCTTATATTCTTTGTGGTATTATTAGCAATCGGTTTTCCTCCGCAGACTGATGCTAAAATCAAATGTGATGAAGTATCTACAGCACTCAAAAGGCATAAACCAGTCGGATACAATGCTACCAAAAAATGTCTTGAGAGCTTTCCTTTTAATGATAAATTCGCTACCAAAGTAATTATTAATATTTTTACTTAATTTTACAATATTTAAAAATTACATATAGTATGCTGATTTCATTTATTTTTTCTTAATAAAAGACAGTCGATCTTACGTTACATCACTTGAAAAGCTATTATGTTTTCCTTGATCGAGCCAAAAACGATCCACCAAATGGATTTATTTATCAACCAGTAGACCTAGAAAAAGAATTAAAGTCATTACGTACAAGACCTTTTAAATCGGATTATGACTTTTTGGTATGTACATTATAAATAAATACTTACATTTTAAAATTTATTAAAAAATGTTAACATAAAATTCTTAAATTAACTAGACAACTTTAAGAAATCTTCTTTTTAAATTAAAAGATGGTCATACAAGAATCTTAAATAATTGTTATCAAAATTTTATTTATGATCAGAAATTAAGTTTATATTCAGTGATTACGAAAGATAACAAACAGGTAAAGTAAATATAAGTGTAATTTATGTATACAAATACTATATTAACTGTTATATTATTAATTTATTTTATTATCAACTACTTAATGAATTATCGAATATGACAGATAATTAAGGTAAACATATAATTAATTTATATGGCTTATTTAAAAATAATATTATACAAGTAACTCTTTATATAAAAGACTTTTGATATACGAATGCTATTAATTAAACATTCAATATAAATGCGACACCTTTATATTGAGAATTACGATGTATATATTATTGTATTTAACGTTACGTATGCAATAAGATCATTAATGAATATCTTTATTTTATTAAAAGGTTTTCAACGACACATTAGATCCATCAAATAATGACTGTGAAGTTGTTGAAATTGAGGGGAAACCTGCCTTACAAGTGATAATTGATTTTGCAGATCATAACATTGCATATTCAAAAGATCGGGGTGTTCGATTCAACATGGCTTTGGCTCCTTGTATAAATATATTTTCACAACAATTTACTTTACGAGAAGATTTACCTGAAACTTCTAGTATCACATATAAATTAACATGTCCAAAAAAAAACAACAAAAAACCTTTTAAATTAGAAAGGTTATGGAACATTACATATAAAAATGGATTTGATCTTTTCAGTAACTTTTGTTTAGATCAAAATAACATTACTGCTTTTTCGTCTAATGATAATTTTGCTCCAAATAGTAAAGTTACAGGGTTAAGATCAAATGATAAAGATACAAAGTCAACATCAAGTAATAAATTTAAAGCAACGACATCGAACAAAAAACTCGCACATGCGAGATTAGTAGCGGATGATTTTTACTTATTAGATGATGGGAACAAAGTTGGTGTTGTAGTAATTACTGAAGAAAAAGAATTCATTGAGAGTGTATTAATAGAAGGTTTTAAAAAATTTAAAAAACTAGGTGTCAAAAAGGTAAAACCTAAAAATAATTATATTAAACATGTATTACATACTGTATTTGCTTTTGTATTTACATTACTTTTTATTTTTGACAGATTATTTTAGAAATGTCAAATAATCCTGGTGGACTACTTACTGTATCTCTATTCTTGACTTCTTTACTACTTTCACCCGAGCAACCCAATTCGTTTCCAACGGACATAATTATTAATAATTTTACTATTCCGAACATAAAAGACAATTTTAAACACCAAAGTTCTGATGAAGATTTTTATAACCCACATTTTTATTTGAAATTTCCTGACGGTGATAAATTTACTTCTGCTGAAGATTTTATAGGATCTCTAAAAAATCAGAGATCTAGCTTATACCTTAATGCTTTAACATCTGATGAAAAGGAATTACTCAATAATACCTCTTTTCCATGGACTAGTAATGATATCATCATTATAACTAATGGTTTTTGTGCATCTGCATGTGCGTTAACCACCATGTTTTTTTCTGAAATTCATAATGTTAAAACAATTGCCGTTGGTGGTCTTCTTGATACTCCGATGTCATATTCCACTTATCCTGGTGGTGAGGTTACATCACCTGAAGTTATCGCAAGCGATGCTGGCGATAAAAGTCCTGATCTTCCAGGAATAAACGCGTTTACTCTTGCTGTGAGAGAAGCTTACGAATTTGTCAAAAATGGTACCAAAAAAAATATAATCGTAAAAGATGTATTAGAATATACATATAAACCTGCTGATCATAGACTTTACTATGATGAAAATAATGCTAAGGATCTTAGCTTATTATGGCTTAAAGCTTCTGAAATTTTAAACAGCAAATCTTAGTTTGTTTTTTTTTTTTAGCGATAGGTCAATTTTCAACTTTTTTTTAATGATGGGTCAATTTATAATTAATAATTTAATTAAATCTTCAAAAGAAAATATAATAGATGAGACATTTAACACATTTTTGAAATAAATTTATTAAAATTTAAAGAATAACTTTATAAGTTGAACGAATTAAACTATGTTTATTTAAAGAAATATATATATATATATAAAGAAAATCCATCATGTGTGTGCCCATTCGATTTTTAATTTCCGGAGCAGGGCGGAAGAACTTAAGTCCAGACAGTAGGTAAGAAAAATTCCGTATGGGTCAACTCTAGCTCGGGTGCAAAATGTAAATTTCTAATCAGAACTATATTAGTAATTATTCTATATATAATTTCTGTATAAAATAAAGATGTTATTGCTTTTAGTAATGGCAGCATAATTGGTTAAATAAACTATCAATTTTATACGTACATTAAGAATTAAGTATGCTTTTTTTTTAAGTTACAAAAGATAAACTTAAGTCAGACAATAGGCAAGAAAAAAAATTCCAAGGAGAGTAGGATAATCCAAATTGTCGTTATCATTATCATTATTTATTGTTCTTAGCATTCTATGTCGTGCCGTTATTTAACTTTGCAGCATATGACTAAGCAGTTATGCCGTGTCGTTCTTTAACTTTACAGCATATAACTAAGCAGTATATGGCATAACGTTCTTTAAATTAACTGTATATTATGTAAACAAAGCAGTACAGTATTTGGTTTCTTCAATATCACACTGATGATATAATTGAATATGAACCGTTTTACAATATAGTATCATTAATATAACACTTTCTTCCAAGTTGTGAAGATACAATAAAATTGTAGTTTAACACATTAGTTGACAATATTGTTCAGAGTGAAGAGTGCTCCGGAACTCAACAGATCCCGTTTTCCTAGTTAATAGTTATCAGATAGAATGCTAGAATGTAGGTGATATTGGGTAAGCGTCATTTAGTGGCCATTTGTTGGCTCAGATCATGCCACTTCGCGGAATGATCTGAATCAATCAAATGGTCATTAAATGATGCTGATCTACATTCTACCTAATAAGTGTACATTATTGGACAGACGACAAAAAATAACAGTCAATTTTTTTTTTTGTCGGAATTAATGTCACTCCAT